ATTCCCCATTTAGATATGAGGTCCCTCTGCGACAAGAAAAGGTTAATCTGTTGCAATATGGAATTAGTTTTTTCTAAATGAATAGACAAAACTAGGTACATTCATTTATAACTTATCTAATCTTGTTTATGATTTTTTTCTTTTTAAATTTATATGTAAATGATCTGATGCATGGACACATAATTAGAGAACAATTTAATATACATGGATTTCAATTTTGCTATCACAAATCACCAATATTCTTTCATTACACTTTGGCTTGTCATTTTGTCAATTACCACTGTTCATCTTGTCATGAAAGCTCACAAGATTTTCAATTCTTTAAAAGCATCTACCTTGTCCTGCATTTAACAACGATCAATGGCACTTTCAATTGCACATGTATAAAGGATCAATGTTTTGCCATCTGCATCCATGTGAATATGTTTGAAGTTCTCCTTTGGCTGCCAAAAACGATCTGGATATCGAACCTTGATCTTTGCTCCCTCTGATTCCAAGTTGTTGTATGATCTCTGTCGTCAAATAGTCAATTTATTTAATCATCAATATGTCAACATTTGTGTAGATTGAGAACATAGAGTTAGTGCTTCTGGATTCTTCATTGAAAACACATTTACATTGAGGGAGGATTTGATATTTATTATTGGAAAGCACATCATTTCTCTTCTACCTGTAACCTACCTCCCTATACTAGTATTTCAGTTCATGCTAGCTTATAGAAATTGATACGTGGTTATATTCATGAATAATTGTGTGGAGCAGCTATTCTTATAGTGGCCATCTAGTGCTGCATTTCTAGTTGCCAAATATCTAACAATTTTACAAATATTATCTTGCCACCTTATTATATCCGTTCTTTTCTGCAAGAGAGCAGCAGCTCCATGTTGTTCAAATTCTAGCATGCATGTTATATAGAGTTTTTTTCATCACTTAGCCACGACCAGCTGTTGCTCTTTCAGCTCTCTGTATGGTAGAATGATTTTGTGCACTTGACAGATGTGTTGATTTATTATGTATTATTTATGCTTGTTGATAAATTTGCTCAGTCTATTGAACTAAAAGATTTGATCTTGCAAATTTCATCTGGCTAATTGCAATGTTTTTTTTGCAACAAAAGATTCGTGGCTTGAAATGTGATTTGTGGCTTGAATAGGTTTCTATACACGCAAGGTATCTTTGTTTCTTGGTTTCTAGTACATGTTAATAGCATGCCCTTTAACTATGATATTTAATTTTTCTCCCAATATGGTTTTTCTATATTAAGTTTCAGCTCCCTCTCCCGTCCACTCGGTCTCCTTCCCTCTCTCTGCTGGCACCGCCCGTCCCTCCCTCTCCGTACCATCGCTGCTGCGCCGCTGGCCATCTATCCGCCGTGCCTCCCGCCACGCCGCCCCACAGCACTGTGCCGCCGAACACACACATTGATTGCCGAGCTTGCATCATTTTGGATGGAGCCACCCGGTCCCTCAGGTTTCCTTTACCCTCCTTATTCATGCATCTCGCTTTGATGCCCCATTAAGGTAGTGTCAAATTTGCTTGACTATTTAGATTCCCTGATATGGTTACTGTTTGTTAAAGAATGATTAATGTGTTTCCATTTCATTTTTTATTTTCCCTTTTATTTTAGTTTTGGTAAGCATTATGCAGATATAATTCTTGAACATCCTGTTGAACTTCATTAATTCATTATGCGATGATCTAATTGGTTTCTTACAACCATACACATTGATTCAGCTTTGCATTGTGTTTTTTAGATCATACACGTATGTTTTTACTTATGGCGTGATTATAGTTTCATAAATCAATTCTATTTATTCTGCATTTGCAGAGGATGCCCATGCCGAAAAAGGCCCTGGTTCATCAACTAAAAGGTTCTTTTTTTCATTTCCCCATTATGTTTTACTTATCTTATTTTAGACATTCACATTGAGTCAGCACTTGCAACTACATTGTTATGTGGATTGAGTTTGTAATTTTAAGTTGTAGACTATACGAGTGCAGTATTCTAATTAGATTCTGACTCAATGTCTTCAGATTCCGGTTGGAGCTAGTTGATAAGATGCCTGACAACCCAAAAAGGCTTGTATTTGAGAGCACTCAACAGCGGTCAGTACATGCTTTTTTTTTTAGTGGCCTTTTTCATGTGTTGTACCTGCTTTTCTCTGTACGATGATGCTAATGTGATCATTGCCCATTTAGGTATGAGGTCCCTTTGCGACAAGACGAGAGGTTACCCTCCTCTCCTGGTACAACCTCTACAGCGGCTCCACCAAATAGAGGTGCAAAGGAGAATGGTTGTACTATAATTTTAATCTGTTGCAGTATGGAGTTAGTATTTTACAAATGACTAGATAAAATTAGATATATTCATTTACAGCTTATCTAATCTTGTTTATGAATTTTTTATTTATATTTATATGATCTGATGTATGTACACATAATTAGAGAATAATTTAATATTCATGGATTTTAAATTTTGCTATCTTAAATTTCCATTATTCTTTTCATTCCACTTCGGCTTGTCCTTTTGTTAATTAACACTTTTCATCTTGTTCTCAAAGCTCACAAGATTTTTCAATTCTTTAAAATCATCTATTTGTGACCATAATGCTTTGATGATGAATAATTAGAATTTAAGGTGCACTATACTTTCATTTTTGAGTGACCATGCTACATTTACAAATTAGAAAATATATTTTATGGTCCACTATACTATTTGATTCTGTGTAGATTTGATTCATTGCTTGTATTTGGCATCTTAGCATCTGTGTAGATCTGTGGCCACCAATAATTTATCTTATCGTTTAGGAATTTATTACATATGTGAGCTAAGCAGCACGGATACGGATATGCGTATCGGTATCGGAAGGATACGGATACGTGGATACGGCAATTTCCCAGAAAACACGATACGTGGATACGTTTTACAATTTTTTTAATAAATAAGTAATAATGTAAATTAAAATTCTGAAAGTCTATAACTTGAGTAATCACTAATCAATTAATCATTAGTTCAGTACTCTACATGCAATCATACGTGATATATACATCACCAGATTACCTTGTAGGTTTCTTGTTTTCACAGATGATCCAAGTCCAACCATACTGGATGAATCCCCAATTACTAAAATTCTAGAACATGAGAAGTCAGGAACAGAGAGCCCCCCTATCGTATGTTGTGGTTGTGGCCGGTGGCCACAGACCCGATGCTAGGACCCAAATTTGGAGAGGTCATCTACTGCATGCAAGCAATCAAGCATGGTCAATACTAATCAGGGAGGGTACAAACAAAACCAAGCAACAACAACTGCAACAGAGTAGATCAAGAATGGGGAAGGGGATGTACTCATGGGATGTCGCCAGGAGCTTGCTTTGTTGTTGAATCGTCCTCTCCCCTGCATCTCTCCCCTGCATTTTACCTGGTTGCATCTCGATAAACCTCAAATTAGGAATCTCTGGTCATGTTTTCTAGTTCCATTTTTCATTATATAATCTGAAATCATCTTGCACCGAGTTCTCTGTCATGTTTAATGGAACTACTAGTGCAACTTTAGCAGTCAGCCTATATCTCTGTTCAAGTAATTTATAAAACTCATGCAACCCCTTCCTCCTGCTCGACGAGTTCTTGGGTCTGAGGAAGAGGAACCTTGACTGATTTCTGCCCAAAATTCCAGTCTTTTGCAAATTGCATTACCAAATCTTCATCTTACGTTAATTGTTGCTCACCCTCTCTGTCGGTTCGTCTCGACCCGCAATGGGACAGCTATGATGATGTTTATTAAATTAAGTTCATTAAATTTGCTACATCTGAGAATTTGGCTCCAGTGGTGTCATTGTAACTTGCATGTCAATACTTTGTATAATAGATATTATGTAGGTACTCCGACCAGTGATGCCGTAGCCTGATCGCTTGGTAGTGCTCCTGATAATGATCTTATTTGGTCCAATGACTATTGGAGGATGTAGTTATTTCGTCATTAATCTTGTAACAGAAGCAGAAGTACGAGTCTTTTTCTGTTCAGAGCAAGTTGAAGTAGGCAACATTAGTCTCACCAATGTCAAAACTCAAAATTGTGATGAGTTTCCTTTTTGTTCATCTACTGCAGCCTAAAAGGTGACTCCTTTTCCACCAGTGAAGCTGGATATGTCTCCTGATATCTCTCTGCAAGGCTAATGTACTCTCTCTGCACGTTTGGTATTAATTGAGCTATAGATCTCCAAAATGTTCTATTTGTATTGCGATTTAATTTCAGATGTCATCATGTAGGGTGATCGTTGCATATTATTGCGGTTGCAGCTGCAGCTAGTGTTGTGCAGGCTGAGAAGTTTGAGAGAAGATTGCAGAGGCAGCAGCAGTCGGCTGTAATGAACAAGTGAACAAATCCATGACTTGTACACGTGATTGATGCTCAAACTATTCCCTTCAATGTTGTAGTTCAATTTTCAAAGTGTAAAGATTTAGTGTTCCAGTGTGAAAGTTGCAATATAAAATACACATGGCAAAACTTGCCTCAAATCGCGGACATCAAGCTATACGGGAAAAAATCTCGTATGTCAAAAAAACTGCACAAAAATAAACTCACGGACGTCAAAAAGCTGCATGGAAAAAAATTCGCGAACGTAAAAAACTGCCAACAAAAGTAAAAAAACCGCACGAGAAAAAACTCACGGACGACAAAAGCTGTACGGAAAAAATCGTGAAAACTAAAAAACCCGCATGAAAAAAACTCATGGACATCAAAAGCTGCATGGAAAAAAAAATCGCGAACGTAAAAAACTGAAAATTGCGGGACCGTCTCAGCCAAAATAGTCAGGAAGGCAGCCTGTGGCTTGCTGGGCTGGCGGATGGGTCTGGGGGTACCAAATAACTACGGAGTACCCGGGTACGGGTTGTCCTATATATATATATATATATATAATGCTGGTATATATAGAGTTGATCTGCACGCATGTGCTCCCAGACCCAGAGTAATATATAATTAATGGTTGTATTTGGTCAGTTAGTTATGTGTGTGAGATATCTTCATCTCGTACGTGCAGTGTGTACTATCATCGTCGTCTTGCAGGCCTCGAGGTGCTGGTGCTGATGAACCAAACAAGCAACGGCGGCGGCTAACAGCTGACCTGCTGTTGTTGATTAGTCTGATGCCACCACCGCCTGCTGTTTCCAGTTCCAAGGGACGACGAATCACTGACACCGGGCTCCACAGCCGCCGCTCATCACTACTGTACAGGGGCTGCTGCTGCTGATGGTGTGTGTTCCAATCCCAATTCCAATCCGATTCCGAGCAGCAGCTTGCGTAGAGTGTTTCCATCATCCTGAAACACTCATCGCCGTCGTCTGCTTCGTCCTGCATGCACGCAGTTTAATTCCGCGGCCAGTATGCATGGGAAGAAATGCATGCATGGCAGGCCTCATTATTTTTATTACTACAGTATATAATTCTTTCTACATATACTGTACACAGTACGTTGAAGCTGGTAATGGATGCATGGTTGGCTCAGTTATTATTATACTAATTACCATTGCAGTTGCAGGGCAGTCTGGACGAATAAGGCGCCTGATATTATAGCCATAAGTCTGATGATCCTCCAGCGCCAGTACACACCCAAGAGCAGAGGAGGCGATAACAGAGGAATCAAACTGGATGAACGACGGCTCTGCATGCACGTCCAATTAGCTAGCTACTAGATGGAATTATTAATTAATTAATATATATATATATATATACACACACACACACAATAATGCATGCTACTTATTCGTCCTGCCTTGTTACGTTTCTGCCCCTGCTTAATAAAATACGAGCTCAGGCACGGTAGGGGAAAAAAATCGCCATGCATGAATCAGGCAAATATTTAGCAAATTAATTACTTACTCCTAGAGAAGACTACTGGCAGGAGATTAATTTCAGAAGATATAGCTTGCTGCTAGATTAATTATTATATATATTACCTGCGAGGGAGCGGATGAGGAGACGAGTGCATCGAGTAGTAGTCCAAGCTGCTGCAGCAGCTGCGGTAGTAGTGTGAAGAGGAGGAGGGGGAGTAATCATAAGAAGGGGAAGGAGGAGGTGGAGGAAGGAGTAGGGCGTGACGCAGGCGAGGCGCCATTGGAGCGCCTTGAGCAGCGTCAGCTCCATGTCCAGGACCGTCGCCGGCAGGAACGTGTGGCTCATCACCTCTTCCATCTGCATACATATATTTAATTTATTTCATTTGGAAGAATTAACAATGCAAATTAATTAACTAAATTGTGGTAGATGCATGGATAGGATCTGCGTGTTGCCGTACGTGCATGTTCTAATATGAATGCAAGGTTTTTTTTTCGAATTACACAAGTACAGACGCAAATGCTCAGTATGCACGCACACTCACCTCTGTGAACACACGTACGCAAACCCTACCCCTATGAGCACCTCCGAAAGACTGTGCCGACACATCTCGAGATTGACGAAGTCACCATAGGCGCCAGACGCAAATGCTCAGCACGCACGCACACTCACCCCTATGAGCACCTCCGAAAGACTATACCGGCATATCTCGAGATTGACGAAGTCACCACAGATGCCTCGCTGTCGACGGGAACGCCACGCTCACCAGTTCAACCATCCACGCCTCCCACCGCTGCATGCATGCACCAGGAGTATGTACTTACATGACCACATGATATTGTATCTACTATCAGTTATTGCAATCCTCTCTTTGTTTTCATTTTTTGCTTTTTTCGATATATCGTCAAACAGAGGTAAACTTAGATAGCAGTTTGAACTGAACAAAAACACAGGTCCTATACTAATTGGCAGTATAGTACGCACCTGCAGGTGGCAGTTGATGGAGAGGAATCGGTCCAGATAGTTGACTGCATTGAACACCGTCCCCACTGTCAGTCCCAACCTACCAAATGCCTGCCGATCCATTCAGAAACGCACGCACGCACGCGTATATCCACGTATACTCAACCACATCAAAGTTAATGTACAGCCCACTGATCCACTGTTTGTGTGATCCTCCCTCCGGTTCTCTAAAGCAAGTCGTTTTGGACATCGACACGGTCTTTAAGAAACGACTTTGACTGTAACTTTTTGCTATAAAATATTTATAAAATATAGTCAATATATACTTTTATGAAACTACATTTCGAGATGAATCTACTTATATCACTTTCATATTTTCAAACTCAATCCAAAAGAAGTTATTTGTAGTCAAAGTTTAAAATGTTTGACTTAAGACAACCTCAAAACGACTTGCTTTAGAGAACCGGAGGCTATTATAGATCTAATGGAAGGCTACAATTTTCATATAAGAATCATCTTCATCCGTGGTCGTATGAAAAAGATATGATTTTTCTAAAATTGAGCCTTGTCGCTGAAATGGGTCCTGTCGATCAGATCCACATATGCTTGTATGCAAAGTATGTTTATCCAACATCATATAAAAAAGATATGAGTTTTCTAAGTCCACAAACTTGATACAGGATTAATATGCTACTGAAACTTTATATTATTTTTTGATCATCTTAATGACCTCAAATGACAAAACTCAGAAATAGAGAATTATAGATCTAATCGAGGGCTACAATTTTCATATAAGAATCATCTTCATCCGAGGTAGTATGAAAAAATATGATTTTTCTAAAATTGAGCCTTGCCGCTCACATGTGGGTCCCGTCGGTTAGATCCACGTATGCGCTGAGTCAGCATGCCATGTCAGCTATCGGGTCGGTTAAACACCCGTTTAGACCTGGACGAGACCCGAACTAGACTCAGGGACCCAGATGTGGATTTTGAGACTTTGGGGGCCTATATGACACCTACACACAACTTCAGGACCTGTGGTGAATTTCACTCTTAGAAGATTTAACTGAGGAAATTGTTGGAGAGCTTTTTTTCACTAAAATCTCTCTATTACTATCAATACGGAAGGATATAATAAAGAGCATCTCCAACAGTTTGGTATATCACTTGCCATCCTTCAAAATTTGGCAAAACAAGCAAAAATCAATCTCCAACAGTTTGCCAAAGTGACTTGCCAAAATTCTCAGGTTGCCATCCCTCGGTGCCGCGTGCGTATATTTGCGCATGCGAATCCGACTGCGTATCCCTCCTCGCGCGCCTGCGACTCCTCTTCCCGCACGGTCGAGGAATTTTCCTCTCCTTCCCGCATGACCGAGGCGCGACTCCTCCTCTACTTCTTCCCGCCTTCGTCCTCGCGATATCTGCGCCAACACCGGCCTCCGTCGTCGCGAGTTCTCTCCACCACGCGCCGAAGTCGTGGCCTCGTCCCCTGGTCGTTCTCGCGCACAGGTAGCAGCCCGGCCGGACTCACGCTTCCCGATCTGATCCCGGCCTCGACGTCCACCGATCTGGTTTTGGCAATCGATGTCCACCGTTGGTGGTTTGTTTAGACTCATGGAGATGGATGGAGAAGGTTTCTTGTCGGGCATTCTCCTGAATGGACAAGATGGCCATGTTGATGGTTTGGACGACCTCACCATTCCAATCTCTCCAGATTCACAGACTAGTCCAGATGTCGAAGTGGAAGTTGTGCCACCAAGTCGTGCTAACAAGGTAACTAGGTGGTCCAAAAATTTTCATTTTTTGGAAGACGAAGTTGTTTGCTCAGGCTGGTTGAATGCTAGCAAAGATCCCATCCACGGGGCGAACCAAAATCGTAACACGTTTTGGGGTAGAGTTCATGCTTTTTTTGAGAAGAACAAAAAAAACTGAGACTGTGCGGACAGAGAGTTCGATTATGCATCGGTGGCTCACAATTCAGCATCAAGTGAATAAATTTTGTTCATGCTATGAGGCGATTAAACGCAGGCATCAAAGTGGACATACTGTCACAGACATGGTACGTATTATGTTTTTAATCTTTTACCACAATTTGTTTTATTTGAGACTGATATATAAATTGGTACATTGTTGTACAGATTTCAGAAGCATTGAAGCTGTACACAGAGCAAGACAAGGACAAAAAGAAATTCTCGCTGATGCCTTGTTGGAACATACTGAAGGGGGGAGACAAGTGGGCAGCAAAGATGGTTGAAATTGCAGAGCTAGAGAAGCTAGAAAAATGCAAGAAGAAACAGAAGGCCGCAAAGGTTTCCAGGCCAAGGGATGAAGAAGGCACGAACACTGAACAAGCAGTCACAGATGTTGTTGGGCAAGAAACACAAGCAAGAAAAAGGTCAGATGGGATTAAGAAGGTAAAAGAAAATCATAGGCGCGGGGGTGCGGAAGCTTGCGTGGAGGCGTTCGACAAAATGTGGGCAAAGAAGGAGTCCGATAAGGAAAAAGAAAAGGCAAAACAGGAGAGGTTCATAGCTGCACTTGACGTAGACAAGGAAGCTCTAGCGCTAGAGAAAATAAGAGCTGATGCTGATCTCAAGAGAGCTGATGCAGAACAGAAGAGAGCTGAAGCAGAACAAAAGAGAGCTGAAGCGGAGTTGCTGAAACAGGAAAAAGATATTATGTTGGCGGACAACAACGGCCTAAACCCGGCGCAGCTTCAATGGCTTCAGATGATGCAGAAGGACATTGTTGCTAAGCGTCTTGGAAATCAAGTTTAGTTGTCGAAATTTTATAGTTTTTCATCAAACAAAGTTGCTGTCATTTTAGTTCTTTATCAAATGAACATTTAGTCTATTTTAGTCTATATATTGTATCAGCTACAAACAATATTTTGTTTCAGGAATATTTGCTCTTAAATATATATGTATGCTTGCTCTTGTGCAATTGGACGTGCATGGTGTGCTATGGTGTTTTAGAACACAGTGCTCGGCAAATCAGTAAAAGCTGCTGTCGGCTGTGTCCTGTGTGCATGCTCCTGTAGATATCTGCTCCTGTGTGCGAGCTGTGGTGGCCGGCAAATTACAATAGAGTATATAAAACAAAATTGGCTATAAAATCATTGCAATGGTTCACTGATTACACTTGAGTATATTATTGTTTCAACGGATGAAATATAAATGTATACCTAATACAAATGTGTCCATGAAAATTAAACTGTAACATAGAAATTTATATAGTGTACGAGTATAAATCTGGATGATGGTTCCACAGGTGTTCGATAAGGTCTTCTTTCAACTGCACATGTGTGTCCTTGTCTCTGATCTGTCTACGCGCTTCAATATATTCTTCAAGTGTACGATGAGCTTGACCACGATCAGGCTCGACATTTTCACCACCGTAATCAAAACGCTCGTTAGGGTCGACCACGAATCCTTCATCTTCTACAATCATGTTGTGCATGATGATACAAGCCCTCATGATCAATGCCAAAGTCTCAATGTCCCAAGGGCGTGCGGGTCCTCGAATAATGGCGAACCTTGATTGAAGAACCCCAAAAGCTCTCTCGACCATCTTTCTCGCTGCTTCTTACGCTTTGGCAAAATATTGCCTCTTGTTCCCCATAGGTAGAGTGATGGACTTGACTAGAGTAGCCCATGAGGGGTATATACCATCGGCAAGATAATAACCCATTGTGTAGTCATGGCCGTTAATTGAATACTTCACTTCTGGAGCTATACCTTCCGCCAAGTTATCAAACAAAGGAGATCTATGAAGAACATTGATGTCATTGTGAGACCCGGGCATTCCAAAGAAGGCATGCCATATCCAAAGGTCTTCTGAAGCAACAGCCTCCAAAATGATAGTGGGCTTGTCCACATGTCCCTTATCTAATGACCACTGCTTTGTCATATGGACAGTTCTTCCACGCCCAATGCATACAATCAATGGACCCTAACATTCCTGGAAATCCTTTTTTCTCACCCATTGCAAGTAAGCGTGCTATGTCCGCCTCATTCGGATACCTGAGGTATTCATCTCCAAAATTTCAACAATCGTGCATCAACAAACTTACGTAGGCTCTCAAGTGCGATTTTTCGCCAATGCGAACGTACTCATCTGTCGCATCACCGGAACCCCATAGGTGAGCATACGCATTAAGCAAAGTGATTTTCCGAAGCAACTCAATCCAAGTACATTGGCGCATTCCTTTTACGCACAAAGTAATCATCGTGCGCTTCAACAACATTCATTATGCGTAAGAAAAGTTCCTTGGACATCCTGTGCACTGAAGAAGCCATAACTAAAGATTCACAACTGAAATATAATTTTATCGGGTAAAACAAATTCATCCGGGTTATAAGAGTAAGAACCTTCGACGAAATATTTCGGGGCCGTATGTTGGATTGTCCGCTAAATAATCTTGATACATCCTGTCATGGCCGCCCTCTCTATCACGGTAAAGAACTTTATGACCTTTGACAGAACCACCGTGTCTTCCTTTTTCATTGGAGAAGGCTTGCACAATTCGAGCAGCCGATAATATCAGGGATTCATCGTCATCGGATGATGACTCCTCCAATAGTCTTCGCGCACGGGATCTCTTCCTAGGCATGATTCCTGACCACGAGCAGAGAGGATGAAAAACAAAACCTAGATCACCTACACGAGCAGAGAGGATCAAGAACAAAACCTAGATCACCTAGAGTCCTATAGGATGGTCAAGCTGACCTAAAGGGACAAGGAGATGGAGCCTTGGTGGAGTTCCTGACCTGCGACGGGAGGAGTACAAGGGGCACGACGAGATCCTGTTCCTGCGGCGTGAGGTAGGCGGAGAGAAGGCGGCGACGTGAGGAAGGCGTCGGGGTTGTACCGGTCAACAACCTCACCTGGTGGGCCCTCCTCTTTTTTTGATTTGGCAAGTTAAAAGTAGGGAATTGTTGGAGATGGCCTCTTTTCAACTTGGTAAATTATTATAGCAACTTGCTAAAACACAACATTTGGCAAGTGAGATATACCAAACTGTTGGAGATGCTCTAAGTTGCTTTTGGTCAGCTTCTTAGAGAGAAAAAGTCTAAACGGGACCAAACGCAAAATTATGACAGGCCTATCCCAGCATGCCATGTCAGCTATCGGGTCGGTTAAACACCCGTTTAGACCTGGACGAGACCCGAACTAGATTCTGGGACCCAGATGTGGATTTTGAGACTTTGGGGGCCTATATGACACCTACACACAACTTCAGGACCTGTGGTGAATTTCACTCTTAGAAGATTTAACTGAGGAAATTGTTGGAGAGCTATTTTTCACTAAAATCTCTCTATTACTATCAATACGGAAGGATATAATAAAGAGCATCTCCAACAGTTTGGTATATCACTTGCCATCCTTCAAAATTTGGCAAAACAAGCAAAAATCAATCTCCAACAGTTTGCCAAAGTGACTTGCCAAAATTCGCAGGTTGCCATCCCTCGGTGCCGCGCGCGTATATTTGCGAATGCGAATCCGACTGCGTATCCCTCCTCGCGCGCCTGCGACTCCTCTTCCCGCGCGGTCGAGGAATTTTCCTCTCCTTCCCGCGTGACCGAGGCGCGACTCCTCCTCTACTTCTTCCCGCCTCCGTCCTCGCGATATCTGCGCCAACACCGGCCTCCGTCGTCGCGAGTTCTCTCCACCACGCGCCGAAGTCGTGGCCTCGTCCCCTGGTCGTTCTCGCGCACAGGTAGCAGCCCGGCCGGACTCACGCTTCCCGATCTGATCCCGGCCTCGACGTCCACCGATCTGGTGTTGGCAATCGACGTCCACCGTTGGTGGTTTGTTTAGACTCATGGAGATGGATGGAGAAGGTTTCTTGTCGGGCATTCTCCTGAATGGACAAGATGGCCATGTTGATGGTTTGGACGACCTCACCATTCCAATCTCTCCAGATTCACAGACTAGTCCAGATGTCGAAGTGGAAGTTGTGCCACCAAGTCGTGCTAACAAGGTAACTAGGCGGTCCAAAAATTTTCATTTTTTGGAAGACGAAGTTGTTTGCTCAGGCTGGTTGAACGCTAGCAAAGATCCCATCCACGGGGCGAACCAAAATCGTAACACGTTTTGGGGTAGAGTTCATGCTTTTTTTGAGAAGAACAAAAAAACTGAGACTGTGCGGACAGAGAGTTCGATTATGCATCGGTGGCTCACAATTCAGCATCAAGTGAACAAATTTTGTTCATGCTATGAGGCGATTAAACGCAGGCATCAAAGTGGACATACTGTCACAGACATGGTACGTATTATGTTTTTAATCTTTTACCACAATTTGTTTTATTTGAGACTGATATATAAATTGGTACATTGTTGTACAGATTTCAGAAGCATTGAAGCTGTACACAGAGCAAGACAAGGACAAAAAGAAATTCTCGCTGATGCCTTGTTGGAACATACTGAAGGGGGAAGACAAGTGGGCAGCAAAGATGGTTGAAATTGCAGAGCTAGAGAAGCTAGAAAAATGCAAGAAGAAACAGAAGGCCGCAAAGGTTTCCAGGCCAAGGGATGAAGAAGGCACGAACACTGAACAAGCAGTCACAGATGTTGTTGGGCAAGAAACACAAGCAAGAAAAAGGTCAGATGGGATTAAGAAGGTAAAAGAAAATCATAGGCGCGGGGGTGCGGAAGCTTGCGTGGAGGCGTTCGACAAAATGTGGGCAAAGAAGGAGTCCGATAAGGAAAAAGAAAAGGCAAAACAGGAGAGGTTCATAGCTGCACTTGACGTAGACAAGGAAGCTCTAGCGCTAGAGAAAATAAGAGCTGATGCAGATCTCAAGAGAGCTGAAGCAGAACAGAAGAGAGCTGAAGCAGAACAAAAGAGAGCTGAAGCGGAGTTGCTGAAATAGGAAAAAGATATTATGTTGGTGGACAACAACGGCCTAAACCCGGCGCAGCTTCAATGGCTTCAGATGATGCAGAAGGACATTGTTGCTAAGCGTCTTGGAAATCAAGTTTAGTTGTCGAAATTTTATAGTTTTTCATCAAACAAAGTTGCTGTCATTTTAGTTCTTTATCAAATGAACATTTAGTCTATTTTAGTCTATATATTGTATCAGCTACAAACAATGTTTTGTTTCAGGAATATTTGCTCTTAAATATATATGTATGCTTGCTCTTGTGCAATTGGACGTGCATGGTGTGCTATGGTGTTTTAGAACACAGTGCTCGGCAAATCAGTAAAAGCTGCTGTCGGCTGTGTCCTGTGTGCATGCTCCTGTAGATATCTGCTCCTGTGTGCGAGCTGTGGTGGCCGGCAAATTACAATAGAGTATATAAAACAAAATTGGCTATAAAATCATTGCAATGGTTCACTGATTACACTTGAGTATATTATTGTTTCAACGGATGAAATATAAATGTATACCTAATACAAATGTGTCCATGAAAATTAAACTGTAACATAGAAATTTATATAGTGTACGAGTATAAATCTGGATGATGGTTCCACAGGTGTTCGATAAGGTCTTCTTTCAACTGCACATGTGTGTCCTTGTCTCTGATCTGTCTATGCGCTTCAATATATTCTTCAAGTGTACGATGAGCTTGACCACGATCAGGCTCGACATTTTCACCACCGTAATCAAAACGCTCGTTAGGGTCGACCACGAATCCTTCATCTTCTACAATCATGTTGTGCATGATGATACAAGCCCTCATGATCAATGCCAAAGTCTCAATGTCCCAAGGGCGTGCGGGTCCTCGAATAATGGCGAACCTTGATTGAAGAACCCCAAAAGCTCTCTCGACC